CTAGTTTTTGCCATTAAAAACTAGGAGTTTGGTGTTCAAACTACTAGCTCCACTCATCTTTAACCTTGCACAGATTTTTCAGATCTTCAAACACACTATTTCCCAACCCACAGAATCAGATTCTGTTCAGATTTGTTCAAGATTTCAATAAAAAATCAATAAACCAAAATCAAACACACAGCTCACAATCACTCGTGTTTCCCAGGAAAAACAGAACAAAGTGCTCTAGATACCAATTTGTTGGTGCAAGATAATGAAGTGGGAGAAGAAGAATGAACAAAGAATGATAACAAGAAGACTATTGTTGTATATCAAAATAGAGGAGATAAAGTAGGATATAATATTGATAGTCTAGGATAGCATATTTATACTAAATATTGAAAATGCCAAAAGACCATATTAAAGGATAAATATTAGAAATTGTAGAAATTAACTAAATTATCTTTCTAGTATTTTTATCATGTAAGTCACTGTTGCCACAAAATTATTCTGAATGAATTTTATTTTTCTGCTCTAGAAAAAGTATTGTTTACCTTCATTAATTCCATTTAATTTCATTATTGACCGGATTTCCACCAAAACTCACGCTAAACTACATCAAAAATATGTTATTATTGACATAACCATATGAAAATATAATATAAAATTTTAAAATTTAGTTTACTCAACGGTTTATTTATGTATTGATATATCAGAAAATAAATATAATTTGAGCGAATTTCTAGCTGGTCATTTAAATGGTTGAATATCTCAGAGAATAAATACAATTTGAGAAAATCCCTTTACAAATAAAAGTTAATAGTTTAGTGGTTGGACGTTTTGTCTTCGTGGAGATATTTCTGGATTTGAACCCCACATTGAATTGTTCACGTAGGTCAAATAGACAGAATCTTAGACAAAAATCTGCATTAAAGTTTTTTCAGATAAAATCTAAAAATATTAAAGGGGAATCACAATTTTTGTAAAGGATAATCCTATGATTTATACATAAAAATACATATTTTTGTCACTAATTAATTAATTAATTTTAATGCATGTTTGATTGAGATAATAAAAATAAACTTTTGAATTAATTGATTTTGTAAAACACATTTTTACATAAAAGTGAATTGAACATAAAATATTTATATTTACGCAATGTTTTAAAAATCAAATCGATTATTGACCGGACAAAGTTATAAGGTCTAATAATTGGAGATTGAATCAAGAGTCACTGATGAAATTACATAACCAACTCGAATACAATCATCAGATGACTCGGTCACATAATTTGATATTAATAACAAAGCTATATATGTATTAGTTCGGATTGAATCGAATGGTTGAGTTTCTAATTTATTTAAAAAAATCACGACACCTAAAAATATTCAAAATATTGTGATTAAATCGAATTTTGATATCAATTAAATTTTTTTATTTTATTTTATTTCATGAATAAAGATAAGGGTCCGACGAGTTTTTATTTTATACTTTAAATTGTGTTAATTTTCTAAAAAATAATTATAAAACGACGTTATTTTGATTTTAAGAAGAAAAAAAAAGCTTTACCCATTGAAGAAACCTAGTTGAACTTTTTTTTGATTTTGATTTGTTCGTAACAGTTTAATCACGAGATTGATTCAATAGTGAACTCAAATTGGTTACTCTTTCAATTTTAATTTGAATGTATCAATTAACTGCATTGAACGATATTTTAAACAATGAATTTAATTAAAAGTAAACTGAACAAGAATTTTTAATATCAAAATAATGTTAAAATTCAAAATTTACAAAATCATATCTTCCAATTAGAATATATTTCTGAGCTAAAATCAATTCTGTCCAAAAATAAATAAATAAATAAAAATAAATTTTACACCTTAAAAATTAATTTTTAATGCTCTAAATGGAATACAAAACAAAGACTTAATTTTTTATATATTTAAAATAAAATTTATTACGAATACTAATTCAAGTTTATCATAAAAATCATATATAAAACAAATTTTTGTGATTAAAAAATTAATTTAAATTAGAGTTATTTTAATATTGTTTATTTAAAAATAAGAACAATTATAATACAACAACTATAACTGTTTTCATACTTCAATTTTAATCAAGTTGTTTTTCTAAATTAATAGGGTTCCATTCCCTTAAAAATCAGAATCCGAAAGAAAAAAAAAATAGTATTTCACTTTTCTATTTTATCTAAAAACACTCGTTCATAAATTTGAATATTCAAAGTCATTTTATACAAATAAATGTTACTCGAATGTGTTAAATCCATCAAAATAAAATACACAATAAATAATTGTTAATGATTAATATAAAAAATATAAAATAAATATTTGTCATTGATAATTATATGAAAAATACAAGATAAATATTTATTAGAAATACATAAAAATTATAGAACTTATATTTCTCACTAATAAAAGAAAATACACTAGACATAAATTTATTGTTGATACATAAAAAAGTGAGTCAAATATATTTATTAATTATTATAAAATATAAAATAAATATTTATCATAGACATATCAAAAACAAGAGATACATATCTATAACTGATAAATATAAAAAAAAAAACAAGAAATATACATTAAAAAATATTGAATAAATATTTTTAATTGATAAATGTAAAATAAATACAAGAATTTTTTTCATCAATAAATATAAATAAGATACGGGGTAAATATTTATGTTTGATAATTATACAAAATAAGACATGACAACTATTTATCATTAACTACATAAAAATACAAGAAATTTGAGCTACAACTCAAAATCACAATAACTATTACATTTTATTCAATTAAGTTGAATGTTTTTAGATATACAATAAAAATAAGTCTTCCTCTACTTATGTTATTTTTATTTTTATTCATATCAATTGAAATATATGTTGTTAATCGAATATTTTATAAATTTTATATTTTAGTAACACTTAATTATATTGACGCGTAAAATAAATCCGTGCAAAAGCACATGTATTTATCTAGTTATATGATTGAAAAGAAATTTACTTCACAAAATGATTTGTTGGATTTGGTTAGTTGTGAAGTTGGTAATGATAAAATTTCTTATATTGAAACGATCAAATTGACTCTACCTATTAAATCGATAAAATAGAAGAGATTAAAATTATATTCGATATCACCAAAGTTGTCTGAACAAAGTTGTCTCACATAATATTGAAATAATGTAAGAGACAAAATGATCTAAATTAAGCCGTGAATAATAAAAGCAAAGATCAAATAAAGAATACAGAATTAATAACCTAATTAGTTGCAATGTCCCCTTCGTCTAGAGGGCTTCAATAAAAAAAAAGAAATTCACTAATTCAAATAGTCAATAACTACACGACGATCTCAACTAAACTATATTAGTTAAGTGCCATTTTTTTAATACTATATATAAATTTCAACTCACGCTCCTCTAAATCTAATATCCCATCTCTTTCATTCAAATATTCTCTCAACTGTTTGCAAAATCCAATTATTTTTTGTGAGATTAAAATTATAACTATGTACAAATCAAATACTCCATCTTTTTACAATATGAGAGACACCTTGAGATAGAGGACTGTGTAAGAAATAAAATACAAAGACTCAAAAATCTATTACGACACACCTAATACTTCTCTTCAAAAGCTCGAGTCTTCAAATAAGAAGAACTTTCTTCTTAAATAGCAAAATTGATCTAGTCGAAAAGTCTAGCGAAGTTTAACAAAAATCAACTGAATTTGAAAAATGCAAATTAAATCTTCTTTAATAAAATAAAATAAATTTTTTTAATTAAATCTTATCCAATAAAATCTTTTTCATGTAGATTTATGATTTAAGAAAATCATTTTCAACTGGATTTGAATTAAAACATTTTCCAATTTTGCAAACTTTTAGTTGAATTAAAACAGAAACAATGCTAAGGACGTAATCCGGAGAATATCGGATTCGATTCCTAGGTAGGAATAACACTTGACCAGTACCCATACCTCTCAACACGAGCTCTGAATTACTAGGGTTCCAGTCTTCTCGGAACCAGAATGCGAAAGCAAAAAAAAAAAAAAGAAACAAATCTTGTAATAAATGCTCAAGTGATCACAAACAGACATAGTAACATGTGCCAGAGTAACAAAGATAAGATGTCTCACAACAAGTCAAAACATCTTGATAAATTACCTACAAAAATTAGTCAATCAAATGTACTAACTAACTCTTACTTTGATTAACACACTTTCTTCTAGATCAGAGCACACAACGGATAAGAGTTCAAATCAATTATATAATCAACCAAGTAACAAAAGCAAGCATCCGACATACACCATCAAATTATTTTCCCTCTATTTGTCTCAAAAAAGAGAAAAGCCAAAGAACTTAGTCAAAATAACAAAACCATTAAAATCAAAACAAACAAAACTAGCCAGACATAACCAATCCTTAAACATAACAACAAACCAACAAAAACACCAAAGCAAATCAGTGAGATGGAGTAAAAGAGTCATCATCTAAAGCGGCTTCACCCACATCCTCATCATTTTATTCCTCTTCATCAATGTACATACATTCATCCCGATCCATTAGCATAACATCCTTCTCAACATCTTTATCAGCCTCCACAATGAATTCTTCATTTTTTTTTTACATCATGACTAACATCTTCACTTACAGCCTCATCATCCTTCTCACTGACATCTTTATTAACATATTAATTGACTTATTCATTTTCATTTCACTATTATCAACATTGTCATTTGTACTAATTTCTTCAGAGACATCTCTACTAATACCCTAATTTCAATATTTATCTATCTATTGTCAACGCTATCTCTATCTTTACTGACATCATCAGTGACATATTTACTAGCATATTTGATAACATTTTCACAAACAATTTTAGGATCAACAACAGTGGGGGTATCATGCATGGGTTCACTAGGATCCGTTTAAACATTCAAGATTTTTTCTATAGCATTATCATTAGGTGTATTATCATAGTGATTGATAGTCTCAATGGTTTATTCAGGTCATCCACCTCATCAAAACATCATTTATGACCTCTCTCTGCTCAACTACATCATGATTCACAATGCTAGCAATTATAATGTCACTAAGGATCATAGGATTAGAGGACTTACCTTGGCCAATATTTAGAAGCACCATATTGAGAGGAGAAATTTTAAATAGAACTTCATCATAGGATCCCTCAGCTGAGGGACTCTTATGAGAAACAAAGCCATCAATAGTTAGGCCATACATGGAAAGGGGAGCGTGAATAATAACTTTCTTTAAACTCTTGCACTTGAACTCCTTTGGCTTGATGAGAGGAGAATTACCTCCAGACTTACCATAAACTTTCCCTCCAATCGTAATGACTTTCATTCAAACACCATGGGAATTCATGACAACTTCATACTTTCTTCTTCATGGTCTTATTGTCCTTATCTAAAGTATTGGTACCTTACCTAGTTCCAACCATAATGTTATAGAAACTCACAATGTTAGAGGGAGATGAAAGCTTAGAGATAGAGTTTTGGCGTAGAAATGAAAGATAAGAAATTTCATATTTTAATATTAATAAAATGAGAAGTTTCTGGTTTGGGCTGAAGGATATAAGGGACATTTTTCTTAATATAAATGGACTTATAATATTTTCAATGGGCCTAACTATTTTCATCCACAAGAACTTTAATTTCTATAAGTCATTAACACACAAACCTAAAGCTGATATAAGATTTTTAAATTGGATAGCATACAAAACTTTTGTGAAAATGTTAGTTAAATGTCTATTGTTAGACTACAACATCAGATCTAGAGGGGGTGAATAGATCCCCAGATGAAAATTATCTTTTAAAAAGATTATTTAAAATTTATTTGAAAAATAATATTGAGCGGAAGAATTTTGGCCTAAATCAATATAGTAGTCTAAACGAACCTAGTTATTGGAAACTTGGATATGCACAAGCCATATGGAATTAAAATAATGATAAAATCAATCAACTTAATAATATCTCAATTAACCGTTTAATATTCAACACAATGGTTCCATATTTCCAATGAAATCATATTAAAAACATAACTCGATATTTTATTGAACATGTCTCGTGCAATCAATTTTTCAGAATTTTCTTTGAGCTTAGTTGATATGAAAAATTCCTTATAATCAAAGTGATTATAAGCTAATCAACAAAGCAATTTAAACTTTAACAATCAAAGAAAAATTCTATGTGAATTAATCAATCAAACAACACATTCAACAAATTGCACATAGAGAGTAAATGAGAGTAAGTGATAGAATATTGTAATTTTCCTCTGAGTTGAACAAGCTAAACAATTTTTCAAACACTTGGTGTGCAAGTGAATTTTTAGAATTTTCCTTTAAGTTGTGTTGATACACAAAAGCACTTATAATCAAAAGTGATTATAAGAAATATGAACACTTGATTTAAATAAAAAATAGTTTGAAAAACTACTTACAATTCAATTGATAACGTGATGCTATTTGACAAATTTACTGAAGAAAATTAAAGCAAGTAAAAGCGATAAAAGAAAAGAGACACAAGGATTTGCCTACACAGTTCCCCACTTTTGTCCTTGCATGTGGGTACGTCTGCGCCTAATTCTAATAGAATTAGGATAATTCTTACTTTGCAAAAGTATGGTTACAAGATAAGTGTTCAGGAGCAATATTATAAACCATAACTGTTTGATATTGATTCAACCCCTTCTCTTCTTTTGATCTTCAACAAGACCAAGAGCGATAGATGCAACCTAGTCGCCTCTTAAGCTACTTCCTTGAAAAGATTTCAAACACTCCAAGGTTCCTTACAAAGATTTCAAACACTCCAAAGAATATTTCACTCGAGTAAATCCGATTTCACACTATCAACACAAGATCACTAATTCTATCATCCAATTGTTGCTAATTCCTTACAAAGATTTCAAACACTCTAAGGTTCCTTGAAAAGATTTCAAACACTCCAAGGGATTTTTCACATGGACGATTCCTTCTTGCACAATCTTGCACGAAAACCCCTAATTCAATAAATGATTTTGGAGGAGAAACCAAATGGTTTTTCCAGGATGAAGACTCCTATAAATCTCAACCCAAACCAATTGGAAATCCACAATTCTCCGTCTAGATGGCACCCCGACGGAATATCGTCACAATGTAATGTTGGCGTATATGCAAAGATTGGAAGGTTGAAGAAGAAGAAGAAGAAATGTAGGTTAATTTTATGGTATCATCAAGTTGAGAATAATGCATGAACGAATATTTATAGTTTTTAAGATTTACGGTAAGGAGGGAAAATTTGGAATAAAAGAAATTAGAAATATGACCAAAACTAATTTTATGTGTCGATCTCAAACTCGTATGTGTCGACACATACATTATAAAAAGAATACATGTGTCGACCTGAAGGACTCTATGTGTCGACCTGAGCAAGTCAGAAGCTACAGACTTTAAAACATGAGTAAATGTTTTGACCTGAAATATGGATGTGTCGACACATGCAATAAGAATTTCTACAATTTCAGAAATATTTTAGTATGTGTCGACCTATAAGTTATATGTGTTAACATGTGACTTACAGGCTTAAAAACTGAGTTACACGTGTCGACCTGAAAATCGAATATGTCGACACATGCAATACAAAAACATGCAGATGCAATGCAAAAACTATTTTTCAATGTGTTGGGTCAATTTCAAAGTATTTTTTGATGATTCCTAAGGCCTATAATGCAGAGGAGTGCCACAAGACATAAGGGTATCGTCCACCATACTGAAATATTAGCTTTCCAAGTTTTGACATCATGCAAAACATCTAATAGTGAAGTTGCACTCACAAACTCTCCCTTTTTGATGATCGCAAAACTTGCGACGATGCATTTCTCGTAGTTATAGAAGACTTCCCCTGATTTTGTGCTTCCCAACTTTATCTCGCATATGCTTCTCCCCCTTTGACAATATAAAAAAGAAAGAAGACAAATCGTGAGAAGTATCATATTCTAATACCAATACTAATATATCACACATAAGCATTTTTTCAAAGAAGAGCATACAGTTACATGTCCCCATATATCTGTAATGATGCAAAAATTAATAGATAACAAACATAAAACATTACCAAATATGTAATGCAATTGCATGAATAATAATGAATGTGATGAAAGAGAAAACTAGTCAAGTTACTTCTATAGCGTCACGATTACGTAACACAACACAATAGAACTCCCGATGCCGCACACACGAGCCTTGAATAGCAACAAAAACATGCCACTACTCAATCCAAAATTAGAATGTTGCCATAAAATGTGACTCAACTACAACAAGAACCGTACATGCAATTAACATGCTTACATTCAACTCATGCACAAATGCGAGAAGTAATAATAATAGAAACACATACTTGTACATACAACAAAAAACTTATACAAATGTGAAATAATTAATACATGAAGTCAGTATAAGCATATATATTGAGAACACACAATGGTTATCAATCAAAAATTTTGGAAATGAACATTCATGGTTTTCATCATTTGAGAAGATAGCAAGCATTTTTCATCAACTAAAACATGTAATAAGAAACTTCTTACTTTCAAGGAGAAATTTGGAGCAATATTACCTCACTCTTGATGTAATGGAAGTTACACTTACATGATGTAAAATACTTCAAACAAAGTGTTAGAGCAAAAGTATAAAAGTGCAAGCATCATAATAAAGAAGGCAACATTGGAGACATTAATAATCTTTAATTTCTTATGTTTGTTGAAAGACGATTTGGTTGCAAATGTTTTATGAAAACGCCAACAAGTTGAATTTCACTATCAAAATGCTCGAACACAACATCCCCTTTTTCAACATGACCGTGGAGGTAATTTTCCATACATGTATCAACAAAAAGGTCAGACGCCAAGTGTATCAAGTCGGGGATTTGGTGATCAAGCGCATCATACTGCCGCAAGGTGATCCCAGGAGCAAATGGACTCCTCCATACGAAGGACCATTTGTGATCAAAATCATATTCTCTGGTGGAGCAATAATCTTAACCATTATGGATGGCGACGACCTGCCACACCCTGTAAACGCAGACATAGTCAAAAGATACTACATATAAGAGACCCGCTAGGTTGACACACCTAGGCAAAACAAGGGCATCCCGGCGAACCAAAAAGGTTGGGGAAAAAATTAGGGATAAAACAAATTTTTTTTACACCCAGCAAGTTGAAAACCCGAAAGGGCGACTTGAGCAAAAAAGGGTATCCCGGTGGACTGAAAACCCGAAAGGACAGTCCAGGCAAAAGTTAGGGATTTAAAGCGTATAACAATGTCCCATTGGATCACCTTACAGACAAACTTTAGCTTCGACTGACAAACTCAACGGTTCTGATCAATCCAATCAACTTCCGACAAGGCAGCAAGTGGACAAGACGCTCAGAGACACGAAGGCTATAGCAGAATGGGAACCCCATGGGATTATTGCACATAGCTATCTTTTCTTTGTATCAAATTTTCATTTTTTACGACGACATTCCCTTACTAGAATGTTCGTCTCATTGTACAAAATACTTATTCAAGTTAATACAAAGATACCCCTTTGAGAGTGCAAAACTATCTATTTTTTCTTTATTCCTGTGTTTTGTTTACAAAAACGTCCAATGATTTATTTTTGAACATATGCATTTGAACGTAACTACTGTTTACAAATGAACAAAAATAGAAAGACAATCAATAATGGCTTTAAGAAATAGGATAATATCTTTAGACAATTCCATAAAATCCCCCAAAGTGTGCAGCTTAATGATGTCGAGCTCTCTCATATCCCCGGCAGAACAATACTTCCAGTTATCACTCCCCAGTATAAGTCGCCCAATTTCTCAGGATTCCCCAACAGGATTTCACCAGCAATACACGGTGTTTCCCTTACAACAGAGTTGATTTCTCTACCAAATAGAAGCTCATCAACTCATCAGCACTTCAAAGCATGAAGACTTACACTCCACATCCCTAACAGCAGTCAAAGATTTATTTTCCCTAATCCAACAATATTATAGCAGCATAGCTTACATGCCAATACATCACATCCATACGTCATAACACTAACAACACGAATGCATACAACATAATCTCGTTCAGTTTTATTAAGAACATCATTGCACAATGCATTTCATACATTATGACATTGCATACAACTAATTTTTCATCTCTTTAGGAAAGATCAGTCAACAGATGGCTATCCTCAACGATTTACAAAAGGGTCAAAGATTAATACCTGAAACAAGCCAGGACAATTATCTACACGACCTGCTCAACTTTCAGATACAGTTCAGATACGCTCCAGATACAGATGCCATTCTGATACTCATTCAGATTCAGC